ATTACATACATTTAACCATCCAATTTCACTCTCCTACCTCTCCAAACCTATATTTAATTACTGGTGCATTTTAAAATCAACGTGTCTTAAGCTTTCCTCACCACTGTCTCCTTAGTACAGAACAATGTTTAGCACACAGATGAACTCAAACATATTTTGAATAATGAAGCAAATATGGTGGTAACTAATTCATAAGGCTATGGTGAAAATAAAGTGAGAATATATGGAAAGTGTATTAACTCATTTGTTATGAATTTGATAATAATCCAAAACATTAGGAGGTACACCATGTTGTTGTTGTTATGTGGTATCAAGTCGGGCCCGATTCATAGTGATCCCTCCTTGGGTTTCCGAAGTGGTATCACTACAGAAGTAGACTGCCCAACCTTCCTTCCGAGGAGTGGCTGGTGGGTTTAAACAGCCAGTCTTCTGGTTAGCAGTCAAGTGCCTTAGGCACCATGCTACCAGGGCTCCTAGGTACACCATGTATATACAAGGAAACAGAAATGAAGAGAGTTTAACTTGGCTAAGGTCACAAGCTAGTAAATGACAGATTAAGAATTTGAATTCAAACTCCAGAATCCATGCTTTTAACCACTACATTAGACTTGACACACAATGTAGGGCAATGAATACATTGGTTTTCACATTTTTAAAACATAAATATATCCTAAAAGATTTAAGGAAGTTACCAGGTATTCAACAGTGTCTATTAGTTAAACTGGCTTCTTCCCTTCTAAGATCACCATCCTCAGAGATGTAATTAAGAAACTGAAAGATATGGAAATCCAACTTTCAAGTCCAAAAGATGGAAGAAATTCTTTTCCTTCTCTTTTGTTCCTGAATGAATTCTGGATCCTCCTGGTGAGTCTATGTCACAGAGTAGAACTGCTCCATAGTGTTTTCTTAGCTGTAATCTTTATATACAGAAGTAGATCACCAGGCCTTTCTTCCATGGCACCAACGAATGAGTTTGAATCATCAACTCTTTGGTTAGTAGTTGAGTACAAACGAGTTATTCACCTAAAATGTTTTTTACCACGTACTGTGCTCATGAAGGACAGGCAATGAAAATATTTAGGACACAACTACTGCTTCAAAGATCTTAACATCTAGCTTACAAATACTACTTCATCAATTAAGAGAGAAAACTGGAGAACAAACAAGCTTCTCTGGGCTAATCTGGGAGTCTAACCATTACAAGAGAGGAACTTACAAGGTATTTTCCTATTGTAACATGCTGTGAAGTCAATTTCAACTCATAGTCAATTTCCTGAGGCAGTATCACTAGGGAAGTAGATTGCCCCTTCCAAGTGGCTGGTAGGTTTGCACCTCCAGCTTTCTGGTTAGCAGTTAAATGCCTTAGGCACGCCACCAGAGCTCCTAAAAAAAAAAGACTTGGAAATAAACTTCAGGAACACAGCCTAACTCTGAAATAATTTTTTTTTTCTCTGTAATTTTAGTCCATTCTCAATTCCACTTTTATGTCTGTAAATAGATTGTCCCTGCCCTTGCAAATCCCTTCAATACTAAGTAAGTCAGTAGTAATTTTTCACTGGCTTTCCCTTGTATAAACTTTCTTCACTAGGTTTGCCTCTAAAAGTCTCAGATTACCTACAAAAATACATGGCATTCTGATCAACTCCTACTATATTTAAATTTTATGCATCTCTAACAGAAATGCTACTTTTGAACTTAAGAGCCATACCTTTAAGAGCAAGGTTTTTTCCCCTTCAAATTCTGCTTAAGAAAATGATGCTGTGCAATTTTATTAAAAATGCATTCAGTAGAATGCAGTATTATTTCTTAAATATTGTATCAACTCATCCAATTTCAACATTTTTGCTACAATTTTCAAGTAAGCATTTTAATTTATTTAGTCCACTAATTTGAAAGGAAGTGCATAATGGCTTTTAGAAAATACATTTCAATTTTCAATATTGGTCAGTCACTTTCTGACAGCCCCGAAAATTTTATGTATTTTCAATTTTACATGTAAATTTTTCAGTCAAACAGAGGGACTAGGGTAAGAGCTCCTTGTCTTATAATTTTGTTTCCAGGTTTATCTTAGTTATTCAAATTATCCTAAAACATAAATATCACTCTCTGAAATACTAAAGAGAAAATTCAATTCTTAATACTCTACTCTTATGTTAATTGAGGGTTACATTATTCTTCATCGTTGAAAATAAAGCTTTTATTTCAATTCAATCTCCTTTACTTCTACTTTTCCTTCAGCAGATGGAGAGTATCTAGCTTTCATTTCTTCACAGCAAACCTATATATTTTTGTTAAATTAAATTACATCTTCAGATTAAATTAACTTTATAACCTTTCACATTTCTTTTTCATCTTTTGATTAGAAGGATAACCTCGAGGATCATGCTATCCATGTTTTTTTATTATTATTATTATGTAGCCTTTAACAATGAAGAACTACAAAAAAAAAGACTTAAGATTGCCTAGCTCCAGAAAGTTAAATTTCTGCTGATGTCAGTAAACAATTAACTAAGTACTGCATACTTCACCATGTAACAGTGACTGGGGGCCTTATTTTTTTATTTTGGTCAAAGGATGAGGTCAAGTATAAACATACACTGTACTCCTTTCTGTCTGCTCCTCTCTCACCATGTACCTGTCTAGATTATTTTAAATAATTGTACTTTATATATTTATTGCACCTGTCTCATCTTCGTAACAAAATGACAAACTCATTGTTTATGCCACTATGCAGAAGAGAATATGAAACACATTAAAATTTTTATTTTCCCCTAGCTAGTCAAAGTCAACATACACCACCCTCATTTTCCAAAGAAAACAAATCTGATTAATATATCCAGTTAAGATTAATACAGCTAAAAACTTAAGGCCATTTTCTACTACTTAAGAAAGTACTAAAAGTTTTGCTTATTAGGCCAAAATCCAATGGACAAAACTACCCAAATCTCTGAAGTTTATAGTAGACTATTTCAATAAATACTGTACTCAACTAACATGATTTTGTTCCTAACCAGAGCTTGATATGTGGAAGAATAAATTGGTATTTTGCCCATAGCTGCATTACTGTGTTCCTTTGCAATTCACTATGTGTTTTTTGAAAGGGGATGAGAGGATACAATGACATAAATTATCATAAAAGGTGTCCTGGCCTGAGCCACTAGAAAAGTACTCTACTCCTACATTTGCTACTATCCTCCATAAACAGTTTCCTCTAAACCTTAGTTTCTTCGTTTTTTAAAAACAAAGGGATTGGCCTGGATTATCTTTAAAATGTTTCTAATCTCTGAATGATTCTAAATACTGCAGAATGTATTGAATGTAAGGATCACAACCTATCTTTCTCTTCACTGCTTCAAATGCAACCTTAGTATACAATACCCTGAAATGCACAACCAGGTCAGTATAAAATCTATCAACAGATATCTATCCTTCCAAAAAAAAAAAGCTAAACTCATGCCATCAAGTAGATTCCAACTCACAGTGACCCCCTTTGGGTTTCTGAGGCAGTAAATCTTTACAGAAGTAGATTGCCCAGTCTTCCTTCCCCAGAGTGGCTGGTGGGTTAGACTGCCAACCTTCTGGTTAGCAGTCAAATGCCTTAGAACCAAAAAGTCTAAATTAATAGCAGGGAGTGTCCATCTTTTTTGGTATACACAGTGAAACTATTGTATCTCTACCTGTATAACTTCTTCCAGTCTGGTCTTCAACTAAAACACAAATCTTAAATCCTTTAAAAAGATTTATCAGTTATTTGAGAGTCCAGGATCAAATAAATGTAATTTTCAGAAAAACAGTCCTGCACCTAGATAAGATCTTTGTGGAAGAGATTAAATGACAAGTGATACTTTTGGATAATTCAGTTGTTCTCACCTCTTGTAAACAAGTTTATAATCAGCCTTTAAAGCTGTTTTCCTTCTGCTACTTTAAGTTTCTTCTTCTGTCTCCAAGTAAGATTTTTTAGCTTCCATTTCAGGGAGTGGACAAGAGAGGTACAAGAGAGCTGGTAACTAGTAAGGCTAACTCTTAGTTTGCTTTAAGTATGGTATGTTTTACTGAGCTTTTGGGTTATTGGCTGCCTTTGAGGAATAAGGTCCTGCAACGCCGCCTGTCTGTGGACCCAGGAAAAATTAAAAACAGTTATTATGAAACCAGATCACTAGGACAAACCAAGAGGCCTTTCTATTCCAACTCACCATAACCAACCCTGGCTCTCAACTACTCTTTAGCTGTCCCACAGTATCTAGACCGTATCCTGGTTTAAATTTTCCTTACTAAGGAATCATTTGAAGACGTACACCTATGCACATGTAAGGATCAAATATATTTGACACCTATTGAATTATTTATAATTGTATATGGATATAAGATCAGTTCATCCAAAATCCTTCAGAGATGGAGAAGTGAAGGTTACTTCAGCAGCCACAATAGCTATGGAAAAAAAAAACAAAACTGCAGCACAACAGTATGGAAAAGTACAGCTTCTCACGTGTCTCTCACATACACAAATACTTCACTGAGTCCATTACAATCTTCCCTCCCCAGAAAAATGCTCCCCTCCACCTCACAACTGGGAGAAATTTACCCACCTCCTAGTCATTCCTCAAGAGACTCATCTACCTATTATCTTACCCCTTACCACCACCACCACCCCTTCTGAAATAAAGTGGCCCAATGGCCTAGGCAAATTCCCCCAACCACGGGTGTGCAAAAAGGGAATCTAATCAATTTCCTTCATCCTTAACCATGTGAACCATCCCAGGATAACATACTGCTCACCAACTCTCTACACTCTGTGATCCACCCACCCCCACGTGTCAGCTACCCTCCCCCACATTCCCACGCCTCAACAAGGCGCCGGGGAAAGAATGGGGGCAGTCCAAAGCCCGGGCGCTAAGAAGATCAACCCACAGTAATCAGTCCCACCGCAAATTCCCTCCTACCTACAGCCCCTACCCTTTACAGTCCCTTCCTCCCTCCTTCCTTTGAAACCAGGCCCTTGCCTCGGAAACCTCCTCTTCCTCGTCGTCGTCCTCTTCTTCCTCGCTGTTGTTGCTACTGGTGCCGCCACCGCCGCCACCTCCTCCGCCGCCACCTCCACCGCCGCCGCTGTTGTCGCTGTCGCTTTCGCTGCTGCTGGGGGGTCGGCAAGTCCGGTTACGCTTGGCCTTGTGGTGTTGCTGTTGCTGCAGCGGCTTCTTCTTCAGGAGCAGGTCGCAGACTCGCACCATCCCACGAGGAGACGAGGCCGAGCGAGCCCCGCCGCAGCCGCCGCCGACCTCCGCCGCCACCGCGGGGGGGCCCGCCACCGCCGCCACCGCCGGGGGGCTCCCTTCTCCCTCAGCCGCCGCTGTCGCCACCGGAACCATCGCCTTTTCCATCCCCAGGGAAAGAGGGAGGGCGCAGACGGAGGAAGGGTATGGGGGCTACACTCTACCGCGATTTCGGCCTCACCGGGGCCGACACAGCGCTCGGTGCCGCCTCTGCCGCCACCGCCTCGGTCACCTCTACTGCCGCCGCCGCCGCTCCGCCAGCTCTCACCTCGTCTCGCGATACTAAGGGCGGGGAGCCTGAAGATGGGAGGGAGGGAGCGTGAGGGAGCAAAGGTTGGGGGAGCTAAGGGGGAGAAGAGGGAGGGATGAGGCGTAGAAGCAGACGTGGGTGTCGGGAGACCCGAAGGAGACACTAGAAAGAGGCTGGGGAAGTGTGCCCAGTGCGGCCTCCGATGGGGGGGGGGTCGGGGGGGGTAAAGGGAGGCCGCAGTTACTGCCGTAGTGCCTGCGAAAGCCTGGATTGCTTCTCTTTCCTCGCTACTTCCCCTGCTCACAGCTCTCCAGCCCTCCCTTTTTGCTTTCTCGCTAGTGACTAAAACGCAGCCGCAGGCGGAAGTGCAAGTGACGCCATCAGCAGTCGCCTGAGCGGTGGCGCGCAGGTGGTCTAAAGGCGAAAGTGAGATTTCGAGGGCCGGATCCTGGGCTCCAGCAAGCGGATAGTGCTGTCCTTCGTAGGCAGGGCTTGCTGGCTAGAGATTAGCAGGCCCGCGCTGTGGGGAGCCGGTGCTGAAGCGCAGTCCAGACACTTGAACTGGATTCCGGACGGCCAGATCCGGGAGGTGGGGCCTCTTGAGTTGCTGTAGGTAGTTCTCAGGTAGTTCTCATTAATTACTAGTCCTTTTTTTTTCGGCCTCCAAATCATGAGTTAGGACTTTGGATTTCGACAGATTGCGTTTTGTACAGGAAAGAGCCTTCTTTGCTCACTTTTAAGTATTGGATGTTAGACTTCCTGTATCTGAATTTCCTCTTGCGTAATACGAAGCAGTTGGATTAAATTCTAAAATCACTATTGCTCTGAAGTTGCCAAATGAAGAGAGGAAAAGAGGGATCTGTGCCACACTTTGCATACGATTCACTGAATGACCCAGCATTAGCTATTCCACTTCAACTTTTATCTGTGAAGTTGTCATCATAAATAATCATACTTATCTCTCTCTATATATATATCGGAAGAATTATTGTAATGGGATAAATAATGTAAGTTCAAGGTGCCCGAAGGACCTCCAGGACTTTTGAAATGATACGTAGTTTTTTAACTCAATTATTCCTGACTGGTCTGGGTATGAGCACAGTGACATAAAGAAAATGAAGCAAACATCAAAAGCAGATGTACTGGCTGACGGGGAAAAAAAAAGTATATCTCAGTTGACATAGTTGCCATTTTAAGACTGCTAAGTAGTGATACTGCCACGGAAACCCAAGGAGGGGTCGCTATGAGTCGGGGCCGACTCGACGGCACATAACAACAACAACAACAAGTTTAGCTTATTTTCCTGAAATTAAGCATTTTTTTTCTTCTAGCACTGGCATACTGTATGTAATGTGGGCAGCTGCCAGTGTTCCACAGAGTACCATGGCAGGATTGGCAATGACTGATTCAGTTCATGCAAGCAAAGTTTCATCATGCGCCTACTGTGTGTTAAGTACTTTCCTTAGTGAAACCAAAGTCTCTTCATTCAGAGGCTTCACAGTATAATAAGTACTATCATAAATACTCATACAAATTGCTAGTCATCTGCCTATTCCTCCCCTACAGTAATTGCTGAGTTCCAGTGTAGAACAGTACACCATTCTGTGTATCTTACCACTACAGATTTATATTCTTATAACCTCAGGTTGATCCCTTCCTATGTGGTATACCTTTAAGTACCTCTTTCTCCTGTTCCATCAGAATACTTTTTTACCATCTTTAAATCCTAGCCCTATTACATTCTATAGCTTTACAGAGATTGAGATTATTAGGCACAAAACTCCTTCAATTTTCCAAATGCTAAAAATGTAAATACTTCTAGATCTCACTTTTCTTCAGTACCAGAGTAATGAGAAACTCCCTTCTCTTCTGCAAGATTAACTCTCCATCCATGCTCTAGTTCCAGTCTCTTTTCTCCTGTATTAATTATTGTTTCTATCTTCAGTCCTCCTCATTTCTGGTTCCTTAGCTTAGTGTAACGTTCACTCTTATTTCCTTTCCTTCACAATCAAACTACTTTAGTGAGTATTCTACATATTATGTCTCTATTTTGTTATGTGAAGTGCACCTGTCAACCACCTGCAGTCTAACTTTTGTACCTGTCATTCAAAAGGTTCTTTTTGAAGTAACCCCATTACTTGGAAGAAAAGGAGTCCTGGTTCTTTTGCACATACCAAACCCATTGCTGTCAAGTCAATTCCAACTCATAGCTACCCTTTTGCACATGTTGTTGTTGTTGTTATGTGCCGTCGAGTCGGCCCCGACTCATAGCGACCCCTCCTTGGGTTTCCTAGGCAGTATCACTACGGAAGTAGATTGCCCCATCTTCCTTCCGAGGAGTGGCTGGTGGGTTTGAACAGCCAGCCTTCTGGTTAGCAGTCAAGTGCCTGAGCCACTATGCTACCAGAGCTAGACTAAATTCCCCAGCTTCCCTTGCAGTTAGGTGTGGCCATGTGATTGAGTTCTACCAATAAAATGTGAATGATTGGGATATGCTCATTTCCAGGGTTCATAAAATGCTCCCATATAGGATTGTTCTTTCTCTTTCCCAATGAGCTTAATACCAGTGAGCATGGTGACTTTATCGACTCCACGTTGAAGATGCTAAAGTTAGAAGAGAAAATGAGTAAGGTGGCTGAATCACTACTTGGAAGAGAACCAAAACCAAACCAAACTCATTGCCATCAAGTCAGATCCAACTCATAGCGACCCATTATTGGGTTTCCCAGGCAGTATCACTACGGAAGTAGAACTACCCACCAATTAGCATCTTTCAGACTTCTTTTGAGAGAGAAAAATTGAAATTTGAGAATTTATCTGTTAAAGGAGCTAGAATGACCATAACTAATCTAGAAATTGGTACCAGTTAAGTATTTCTAAAATGATAATCTAGAATATTTGGCATTGGCTTAGTGATGATTCAGAAGGGGTAGGAAAACACATCAAGGCTGGCAGGAAAAAACCCATGTATTGCAGGGGCAAAGAAATTGGTAAAACTGTCACCTGTGGTTATTGAAAAGCAGGCCCCATATCTATTGACACTGCAACTCTTAGGAAATGGTTGAAAATAGCCAAAGTAATGGTGTGTGTTGCTTTTTTAGATTTTACTGTTAACAAGGTTTTACAAATAAGTAATAAGCTTAGGAAATAATTGGCAGAAATGAAAGAGAACATGTGCAGGAATTTGTGTGTCTGGAAGAGTTTGAAAAGCTCAATTTTTAGACCTCGAATTGTAAAAATGAAATTAAAGAGACCTTGAGTACAGTTCACTTACGATTTAGTCCTGCAACAAAGATCAGATCAAGGGTTAGGCCTTCCCATCCAAGTCATTATTTCAGATGACTTCAAGGTGGCATTAGTAAATTTGAGAAAAACAGCATGAGTCAAGGAAGCAAAGAAATAAATCAGACTTGAGATTTATGAAAGGAAGAGCTTTGGTTGTAGTTATTGGAGGCAAATAAATAAGAAATCTGTGTTTTTTAGGGAATATTATTATTAATCAAACCATGAGTCAGGTGTGAAAATACCTTTGTTCAAGTGTTGGAACAACTGTGAGGCCCCTAAACTTGAGCGAGTATTAAATATAGTATAAAAGCTTTACAACTCCCCAATACTCACATGTTATGTCACAGAGAAAAATGAACAAGTAACATTTCAGAAGTTACTATCAGGGGCCTGGCAGAACAGTGGACAAGGGTGTTCCTCCTAGAGAATAAAATTGGATGCCATCAAAACTTCCTTCATTCTCAGGAGATGGATCACAAAGTGCCTGCCCAATATTTCATCATTGTTGTGCATCAGTATTGCTGAGAGTCTCACATTTTATCACTCCCAAAAAGAAGTATATATTGTAGTTATTCTGTCCCTGATCTGCCACTGCATATTGAATTTGCAGGGAGAAAAGGTAGTAATAAAGATAACTTCTTCCTGAGCAAACAGTTAAACTCTATTTCCTAGTCTCCTTTGCAATTAGGTATAATAGTTAGATATTACCATTAGATTCTAACCAGTGGAAAATGAGTAGTGATGTGCTGCTGCTATTCCAGATCTAGACTATAAAAGCTTCATGAGAGCAATCCTCCAGAATCTCCCCACTCCTCACCAAAATGAGAGATAAACACATGCATTAGAAACTATGTATTGATGATGGTAAAGCCACAAGATGGAAAGACTCTGATTTCCTTGGATGATAGCAGCCTGCCAATTAGGCACACTTGTTTTGGAGTTCATGTGCATTCTTCTGTGTTAAGGCACTGAGATTTAAGGGTTTATTCTGATTAATATAGACCTGGTCCTCTTCCCCCAGGTGCAAACATCTATTACCTAGTCCTAATTCCAGCCACTCCTTGGAAGGAAGGTTGGGCAATCTACCGTAGTGATACTGCCTCAGAAACCCAAGGAGGAGTCGTTATAAGTCGGGTCCAACTCAATGGCACATAACAACAACAACAACAAATTCCCATAGCAGAGGGATGAGCCCATGAATCAGGTATACTGAAGTACTCTGTTCTGGTTACCTAGTGCCGCT